CTTCCCTTTCAACTCTATGCACTCACAAACCAAAGCCACAAAGGCCCCCCCAAGCTAGTCTTGCTTATGAGGCAAATCCACCATTTAGAAGCTTTCAGCTGTGATTTGCTGACCAGCTGCTGACTTGTGTTTTCATCCTGGTGGCCCATTGCCATTTCACTGGCGATTACACTGCTAAAGAGCTCCAGAGAGCCGGACAATGCCCGAGAGCTTTACATGTCACCAGTGTCATCGGCCGCAGAGAATAGAATGTCGCCATTGAACCAATTATCAGCCTGTTTACAGTGAGGGGCCAGGGTGAGGGTGTGTGTGGGTATGTCTACATGTCAATACCTACAGAGTCTGAATACAAAGGCTTTCGTTCGGGTGTGTATAGCGATTATGTGGTTTAAGGGTGTGTGACAGAAACTTAGACATGAGAGAAGTGTTTCAAGCTTGTTACACCTCAGTGGCCATACATTCAGACATGTATGTGTGACTCTGAGAATGAGTGGCATTTATACAAACAAACTACACAACAGAAAGGTGTTTTCTGTCAGCATTTTCAAAACCGCTGTTTTGCTACTGAAGTGCTTTTTCTACAGTCACACACAGATTCATGTGTGTTATAAGGTAAATACATTAAGGTTAGCCTATGTGTAAATGAAATCCTGTCTATTAGGATAGCCTGTTTCCTTTGGAAGCAAGAAATCCAGCTTTAAAATTACGAGCACACAGCTACTACTGCAATACCTTTGTTTGACAAACTTCCAAAATTATACCTGCTCCCAACAGTATTCCTTTGGGCCTATAAAATAACATATAAGGAGTCATTCCACTTGTTGTTTCCCAAACAGAACAGCACAACGTGGCCTGAACAGGACAGAAGAGAGAAAGACATATTAGATTAAAAGAGGCTAAACAAAGGGATCGGTGCATATAATCACCTCAAGTCTTGTATCATGGTTTGTTGTTATGATAGCAGGCACCATTAAATGAGAAACTACACAGAAAGTGGCAATATTGTTTTCAAAGGCATTCAAATTTTAAAATGAAAATACTTTGAACCCTTTAGTCATTCACGTTTTAAGCAGACACCTCTTCATTGCGCTATTATTGGGAGTCAGGTCTGGTCCAAAACATCTAAAATATTAATAAAATGCTGGTGTGAAAAACCTTGCCAAATGATTACCATTAATTCCAAATTTCTTAACGATCTGTTCACTTTGACCAAATAACTTATGTATCTTGAAGTCCAACTTCAGAAGGACTTTTCAAACAACTTTGGCTACAGACACAGCCACGCACATCGGAGAACAACACAGAGATCATGACAGCTACTTTGTGGCTTATATTGTGTAATTTTAGTCAGATACAGACATGAAACTCTGGATTTCTCCAATGAAGGCTGTCAGCGTTGTGTACCTGCGTGCTTGTGGTCGTGCATGAAGTGTACCGTGCAGAAGCACACCTCTCCAAAGTGTACCAAAGCAAAGGAAGTGTACTGTGCCTGAGCACAACACGGAGCGGTCTCACTGTTTCAAACGAACTGGACTTTAGCGTTGAAGCGTGCTTGGGCACGGTACGGATGGCCAGTGTGACCGTGCCCTAGAAGAGGTGTAAAAACCTTTGCTCTGGCGTACCTCAGGGATCTTTGCTCGACCCACTTCTCTTCTGAGCAAATATAGTTTAGCATTGTTCAATAATCAAATTCAGTTCAGTAATCTTTCTTGTTTAGAAAGTCTGACCAACATATCTAGAAATGGGAGAAAGGACTTTCTACTGTACAAGTTTAAAAGAAAGCACTGTGACCTTTTGTTTCATTTTGGGTGATTTGAAAGTATTTTGTTGGGGCACTGTCTTTTTATGAGGGGAGTTAATCACTTTAGAATGTGTCTTAATTTTTATTCTGTCCTTTAAATAATGTATTGCTGCAACCATGCACTCACATTATTTTTTTCTTTTACAATTAAATAGAAAAATAGATATTTGCTAATTGTTTAAAAACAACATTTAATGGAATGGCTTTTACCCAGTACAGATATTCACAACCGATCATTGTGTCTTGTTACATTATATCGCAGCGGAAATCTGACATTTCACTGTTTGCTTTCCCACATGTGACTCAAATGTAAGTACAGCCAGAGTGTGTACAGCAGCAAGAGGAGAGTGGCTGGTCCTGTCTTGTCCAACACACCCCATTTAACCGAGGGATTTTGCATATTAAGAGTGGGATTTCGAGGATTTCAGTGTTGATGTGGCTTGAAGATGCTCTTTTTCACAGACTTTGGTATCGAACTTCATTAAGTTACATTAAATCAAGTATAATGTATGCATAAACACTCAGTTGTCATAAAAACCTGAACTCAAAATGAAATAAATCTTTCCTGATGTTTTACATTCTGAACAAATTATTTTTTTGGCGGGGGCCATGCGTTTCCTAATGATAAAGTCACCCAGACAAATGGGCCAGTTTTAGTGTAATATTTCTTCTGTTCTTTTTCAATATATTTGTCTAGTAGTGCAATACATTTATTTTATTCTTCTGGCTGAAGTCAATTACTGTCTATGTCATATTTTTCATAAAGTTCAGACGTGTTTCTTGTGTGTTTTCTTTGTGTTACTGTGAATGAATGAATGTTGTGCACAATAAAGCCTTTCTCATTTTTTCTATTATATTCTATTTAAAAAATAAGTTGCACAGCTATTGTATACCACTACTGAAGGTTGCCTAATTGTTTATATGACTCATGAGTAAGCGCCCAGTCATCAGATAAGCACTGATCCAAGGAGGAGTTGTAAAAAGTGTGTGTAAGTGTGAATTCATGACGGTTTAATGTCAAACCCCTTTTTCCTTTTACCTTGATTCACAAAATACTACTTATTGAACAGTGACACGCCCGTCATTGCAACATTCAAATAGCAACCAATAGGCCTACTGCTCCCTTCAAAACAATGCAGCCATTTACAGAGGCACTAACGTAGAGTAGCCTACACTATGTGATCAGTAGGCCTCCTGACTGACAGCATATTAGAGGCTTTAGTCATAAACACACATGATGCTGCAGTGTGTCTACTTCAGGAGCTGCTGAAAAGGCTATTTATGAAAAAAAAAAAACTTCAGGGAAGCTTCTCCATTGTTTGACAGCAATGGCATCGTTAAATAAGTTTACACTATGTTTATATAAGCTTGTTTCTTTTCCAGAAGTCATGACCTTTGTTCTCAGTTATGTACATTAGGCTGCATTTAAGCCCACACATACAAATTACATTCACTTAAAATCCGGCTCGTATGCCTATTATATAATCAACCACACACAATAAAAAGGGCCCTTTAATGTTTGAATGTAACTACATAAACATCACGCATACCGGGCACTTAAAGTAATGGCCTCTTCACATATACACAACCCTAAAACACGGTAGGCTATGTTATGGTTAAAGTTCAACGCTTGAGGGAAAGCAAGCTGAAGTTCTCTGGAAACCGGGACTGAGAGCGTGAATGCACACGTGCGTTTTCTGTAGGGACACGTGTGTGTAGGAACAGTGTTGAGGTGTTAAGGTGCAGTTTCCCATCTTCTTCAAGTTTTATATATCAGGGTACCAGGAAATACACGCGTGGGGGACATACACATATCACGACATTAAAAGGATGTTGTAAAATCGGATAGTTACAGTGAGACCCTGTTTCTTTGAGGGATTGTTATTTAGGTAAGTAACGATGAATTGCGGAATCGACTAAAGGAGACCGACGTCACACAAAGCTACGTGGTGCATTCAAATACGTCGGAAAGGTCTACATTACACGTTGGGATAAGTTCAGTTAACAAGTAGGGTAGGATATATCATGCCAAAGAAATGTAATGCCTAACCCAAAACATTTCTGGGAATTCAGAGATGACAATTCTGTTTCATGTTCAAAAATCATCTTTCTCAAGGCAATGCTTTACACTTATGTATATAAAAAGCCATTAATTACGTTTTTGCAGTATGTTTAAGTAGGCCTAAAAGCCTAGTTCTATGTTAACCCGACCTATCTTTATTCAGCTTTGATGTCATTGTTGAGTTGTATGTTAATATCTGTGTCTTCAATTAGAAATGTGTTACATTAAGAGAAAAACAAAAAGGAGAGGAATTGTCCAGGTAATTGTCCAATAATGTTGATTTTGAGCATCTTGTGAATTAAGATAGACATGTCTGCGACAAATAGATTAATCTGAATGTTCAAGTAAAACCAATATCCACCATCCAGCCTTAAATCTCTTCCTATGTTAATAGGCTATCAGTAGCCCACTGATAAAATTCACACTATTCTGAGTCAACATGACTTTTAAAGTGTATGTATCTTGGAAGCACTTAAATTAAATGAGGTTGTTTGTGTCAAAAGTCAAAGTCAGAGATATTTAGGTTTGATATAATCTTGTTGAAACATGTTACAATGATACAATGATGTTAAGTTATGTAAGCCTTTGATCAACTCCTCAAAAGAGACAAGGACAGTTGTAATATAATCAAATCCCACCTTAGAGGAGATAAACTTTATCTGCAACTATTAGCATTTTGGTTTTCTTGAACTAAAGAAGCTGTGACATGTGAGATGTGAAAATGCAATCTTTGGTCAATATTTTATTTTGTAGCTTACATATTTGTAGGAATGTGTTTAAATTGTATCTTTAATTATATGGACTACATTCTACTGCCCCAAAACCAATGGGAAGGGTTTGTCAAAACCTGCTACAATACAAAATTCAGTTGTTTGATTTTTTTTTAACAAACTAGATTAAGTTTAATCTTTAAAAAAAAAAAAAAAAAAAAAAGCCTCATTCTTATGCAATTTACTAAAGGCACTACAAACAACCGGAAAAGTGGCTCTTCATGACTCCTTAAATTGGAATAAAAGAGGTTTTACTACGATGAAGCACTTGAAAGCACCATTTCAACCTGGCCCTAAAAGCGCGCTCCCGCTTTAACGTGGCTACTCCCCCTTTACGGCAAGCGTGCGCGTACCCGGCTATCGCGTGGTGGGGATCATCCATATTGCTGCTTGTGGTGGAGTTAAGGTGGTAATCCAGAAAGGCCCTTGGACACGTTTCTTTATTTTTATACATGTTTTAATCCAACACGGACTACTCTGCGTCTTAGACTGAAGCTCTTTTGGTCTAGGAGCGACAGACTCCGCGGAACAGCTTCATATTTTCCTGAAATTGAAGCCGAATTCGGGCCGGGGGAGGACTGGTAATCCTGAGGGGGGAAGAAAGACGGTGGTGGGAAATGGCCACTCAGGTGGAGACACTCCTGCCCGGCAACCCGCTTGCGAAAGCGGAGGAGCACGGTAAAGTGATCCGCGGTGAGCCGGAGGAGGAGGAGGGCGGTCAGGGCGACGGGGCCAAGCGGCAGGCGGGCATACCCGACCACGGGAGCAGCAGCAGCGGCGGCGGCGGCGGCCATGGGCAGGGAGGGCTCTCCGGCACGGAGGAGCAAACCTCCAAGGAAGCGGCGGAAGAAGGCAAAGAAGGCTGTGACAACGACGACAAACAAAACGAGGATGGTGTTAAAGGCAGAAAGGAGTTTACTGAAGCCCCTCCGCCCAAGGTGAACCCGTGGACAAGGAAAATGAACGCGGTGACCGTGGTCAGCGTGAATGGACAAGCACACCACGGTTTGTACCCCTCCCTACATGTTGATTTACAGGCTGTCAATGTTGTGTTTGCTATCTGTACGTCCAGGTGTGGTCACATGAGACTGCTAAACAGCTGTCACATGGCTCTGGTTACATTTTTTAACAAAAAAAGGGCCAAGTAGGTGCATAAAGGAGCCCCGTCTGTGGTCGCCCTCTTGTTACTACCTTTCAAGCTGGTTATATTTGGAGTGAAAGCCCCCGACTTCATCCTCCTCCTAGAGAAGGCTATTATTGGAGTTCAGGGTCGCAAAGTGGACATGGGTGGTCGATTGCAGACGGATTTTTAGTTGTACATCCCTTAATTAAGATTCTTTACAGCTTTCTTTTAGCAATAATGACATTTTTTTTTTTTTTACTCTGCACGGAAACTCAACTTTTCACACATTTCACACAGTCACTCGTTTTTTTTTTAAATTTTTTTTTTTTTTTACTTTACCTCTGATTTATCTTGTAATGAGATTATATTTTTTTTATGTATCGTTAGTTAGTCACGATTAGAAGAAGTTTAATTTAATATAGCTGTTAATTTGCTTGAGCGTTTTCGTGTGTTGTGTTGTGTTACAGCGCAAAGTTGATGCGTCTGTGTCACTTTGTCGCACTGGACGGATTTGATGCTGCTCCTCCTGCGTTTATGAGGATATCACGGTCATTACAGCACTGCCATTTGCATGCATGCTGTGGAGACATTTTTAACATTTTTTGGGAAGTCCGGGGCACTCATTTGTCCGTATGTTTAACCCCATGTCCTCCCTGCCAGTGTTTATTAATCCACTACCACCCAGTCTTTTTAAAATCCTCCTTTACACGCTGGATGTCTTAATAGTTAAAAAAGTGGTTATTACATCTCCAGTGTTTATTCTTTCGGCATACAGCCACGCCACACATTAGTGACACATACCTCTCATTAAAACAGTTTGAAGAAAAAGCCATGAGCATTACCGGCTGCTAAGCTTGCTAACAATAGCACACACACACACACACACGGACTCCTCTTTGGCCTAGCACGTCCGTCCAAGCCACCTCCCAGTCGGTTGTTAGCCTAGCTCCCCATGACGTTACTCTACACTTCTGGTCAAATTGAGTGGACCATGTCAACTTTTAAATAAAGAAACGTAGTCTCCTAAACCGGCAAAACGCTTAAATGTTTCACCGTGTGCTCGTTTAATCTCCAAAAGGAGCAGGTTTGTTATGAGACATCACGTGTTCACTCCACGTGTTCTCCTGGAGAAAAGGCATGGGCGCTGCTGGCTAGCTAGTTAGCTTTTTTTTTTTTTTTTTTTTTTTTAAAGCAGTGTAGGTTTAGCTACCCATGCACCTTTGGATCGGTGCGAAAGAAGACTTCACAATGTAATTTGGGGGCTACACATATGACGCAATCTGACCCGGTGTTCGTGTTGTGTGGGTGTGTGTGTGTGTGTGTGTGTGTTGTCGTCAGGGCAAACCTGGCTGCTTGTTCACACAGTTAGCACGTAAGCTAACAGGCGAGCTGGTGAGAGTAATGATGGCTTCTGTATGATATTACTCATTTTCGCGATGAAAGAACCCGAAATGTTATGTTGTAATAAACACATGGGAGTAGTTTCAATGGTAGGACTGTTAAATACATTAACAATCAACTATTATACAGCTTGGATTGACTTATTAGTGCTGCACATGAAGATGTTCTGCTGTGTGTTTAACCAACGTGGTTTCCTGCCTCTCAGCCAGGGGTGTCTCCTCCTGCACACAGCCTGTGTTTTAGTATTTGCACAGCCAGGTCATTGTTGTTCCGACCAATGACCAACCTTTTTGTTGTTGTTGTTGTTGGTTTGTTTGCTTGCTGTGTTGAGGGGTGTGTAAATATTGTTGTCTCTAGATTTAGGGTACAGCTTGTACGCTGAATCAGGAGCAGTCTGTGTGCTTTGGATGGGTGAGCTCTAAAAGCTGTCACATCAGCAAAGAGCCATATGTTGAGATAACAATGCAGTAGTGGCTCATTACGATTCATTGCAGTTAAAGACTAAATACGTTTGTTGATTGAGAGTTTCCAAAATGTATGTTTTTCTTTTTCTTGTCCCCCTAATACAAAGCCACTTCATTTTTGAAGTTCTATGTTAGATGCAAGGAAATGTTTTATTTTTTTTAATTTTTAAGTTTGACTTTTGAGTTTTTGGTTGGTTCTTCTTTGAAGTACTAGTATTTGTTGTTTGAAAATAATTATCTGCATTCACAATATTCTTTTGCACAGGTAAACAGCTCTCTAATCAGACATGTGTACTCTGCATGTCCTTGAACAAGATCCTCGACTTCTGTCCTAGAGAAAGGCAGCACATTAATTCTGTTGCATTGGCAGCTTGGATCACAGGAGAATTATGTTACTGTGTACGACATAATTTGTTGGGTGGATTCCAATTAAGCAGTGCTGTAAAGCCACTATGCTAGCCATTGATTTTGGTTTACATTAAAGCTGTTGTCCATGATCTCACAATTAACGAAGGTTAAATTATCATGAATACCTATTACATGTAATAGCACAGACAGATAATCAGCTGACTCATGGTGAGCATTTAACACTAGGATAGCGTGACGTGCGCGTTAACTCTTTGAGACCCTAAATGTTACATTTGAATCTCCACCAATAGGTAGACACTCTTCAGCTGTTTTCACTTATGCACTCCTAAAAATATCTAGACAATTTGAGGAGGAGTGCTCCTGAAATTTCTCAGACGCGGCTGTTCACATAAACAACAAAAGTGTGGAAAAGACCATACCAGAGAACAGGAAATGTAATGCAGCCATTTAATTATATGCATGGAGATCGAAGCTGTATCGTGCATACACTATGCACGGTGCACCAGTCACAGATATAAGCATCACCGCCCCCTCCCACTGGCTTGAGGTGAATTCTCTGGAGAATATCCTGCTATTAGGGGTCTTGCACGAAAAACTCCTGGTGAAGACTGAGTGAAAATGTGGCTGTTTGTTTTCACACATACAACTGCTTCTAGAAATATCTTGAGTTTTTCAGGAGTTTTCCGTAAGTATAAATCCCTAATAAGCCGTTTTCACATATGCACTCCGGATAATAGCTAGATATTTACAGGAGGACCGCTTCGGAGATTCTCCCGACCTGACGCGTTCAGACGTCAGCTCACTCGGACTTTCTGCGGAAAAAAAATACTAGGGGTCTGGCTGGAGAAACTAGTAAAGTCCGTGCGAAAAATGCAGCTGTTTGCGTTCACACATAGCACCTTGGAGTAGTCAAATCTCTGGAGTTTTTCAGGAGATTTCTGTATGTGTGAAAATGGTTTTGGTTGGACTTTGTGGAGTTAGGATTTCAGTCGGACTAACATTTTAACATACTTTTTGAAAAAGCCTGTTTTAGTCTGTAATGTAATCATTTTGACTTATTACCACAGCCTGCATTTGACCATTACCCATAGTCAGTTCACACAAAAAGTTGATCTGACTATGTGCAGAAGCATGGTCCGACATTTAATGTAAGGCATTTAGCTGAGTCACTACTGTGTGAAAGGTCACGTGACATTGTTTGTGCAGTGGGGAGAAGGTGATCTCTTGTCTACAAAATGTTTGTTTAGTATGTTTTCCTCAATGTAGGAAGTTTGCTGTAATGACGCCTCTGAAGTCTGGGTAATTTATGATTCTGACTTCTTTTTTATGTGTAAAAGTGAAACAAAAGTGAGTTCAGCAAGACCTTCTGAGCATTTTAAATGCTTTTATTTAAAGTCCCAGACTAAAGGGCTCAGGTTCTCTGAACAGTTCAATGTTTTTGTAAAGTAAGTGTGTTTTTTGCCCCCAAAGAGAGTTAAAGGTGAATTGGCAATTAAAACCTTGCTGTGCTGTTGTAGGCTTAACTGTATGTTCTTTAACTTTAAAAAGTTGGTGCAAGGTCTAATATGTGGCCAAGGAGAATGTACAACTAAACAGTTGATCAGACCGTCCAGTGCACAAAATAAAGTGCCGCCACTTTGGAGAAGCTGGAGAGTTTTCTCTTGCTGCTAACAGAACATAAAGCTGCTTTCTTACTGAATTTAGTTCAACATCCATAAATATGGGGACCAGTGGCCATGTGTTGCTACAGTACATTTGATGGTGAGATGAAACTGAAAAGCCAAACCAGTAGTTGTTGATGCATTTGTAAAGTATTTTAGTTGCCGTTATAAAAACTAAGATGTGGTTCGACAATTTTCCATGCTCATGGAGCTGTAATTATCATGGTTGTAATAATCTACTAAACTGTCACAATCCCTGCAGTGTAAACGATAGAATGAGCTTAATTACATTTTGACAAAATTAAAGTCAGCTTGCTTTTCCAGATAAACCCTGCTTTGTTTTGGTTCAAGTCATCTGAAGTATCATCTCACTATAACAGGTCGTCCTGTTGATTTGAATGGGTCAGTCAGGTATAATTCTTTGTTCATTACTTCTATTAATAATTAAATAACTACTCTCATGTTAAAGCATGATATAATCTATGATGTTGTCTTTCTGCATGTTTTGGATGGTACCTGGGTGTAACACACTTTCTCTCCTGGACTACACTGCAGTAAACATGACATTGCAATTAATTGAACAGCCCTAAACCCAACCTGTGATAGATTGCCACAGTGTTTATCTGACTGGTCCAGGTAGCAGTTTTCAAAGAATTTTTTTTGCGAATGCTGAATTTGTTTTGAATCTGCAAGACCACTAGTTTTTTTTTATTTACTCATTTTCACTTGATGTGACACAACAGCAACACGTTTTGAATATTTGGTTCCAAAGTAAATACTTTCTACCTTTTTTAAGTAATGAGTTGTATTTGTAAATGTCATCTGCTCCAACCAATAAGTTTCATTGAAACAGCTGAACTCCTGTCAGTCTGAAATTTGTAGAGCTCCTTCTTGCTATGCTGCTGTTCAGCACACATGCTTTCAGTTTGTTGATATTGTATGACTCTACTGTAATGTTTGCTGAGTGAGTGCATGTGCTGTTTCCCT